CCCCCCCCCCCCCCCCCCCCCCCCCCCCTGTCTCTCACACACTCACACACACTTTATTTGGCTGACACGCTCGTTCGGGCTCACTGAATGAGCTGCGCCTTTTGTGCAAACACACTTTATCTTAAAATATTCCTCACCTTTATTTCTCCCCCTCCTCGCGTCCCCCGGTAAGGCCTTACTTCGCCCTCTCTCGCTCTCTCTTACACACACTACAAAGCCCTAACAACAACAGCAGCACTCGCAGTGGAAGTGACGTGGAGTAGGGTCTTTGTCCGGACAGATGTAGCGACAACATCCCAAACAAAAAAGCGCTTATTTGTGCTGAGATGAGCCCGTCTGCCTTCTGTGTGTTGGCATTCAACTTCACTAAAAGGGACAAAAAGGGGGGGAAACATCTTGGATTACCTTTCCTCTTTTCAACGCTAAAAACCAGCTCATAACCCCCCGGCCCTCCCTCCTTCATACGCACACACACTCACAAACGCACACACACACTCAGACACACAGTCATTCGATGCTTTGAGTTAACTAACAAAGTTTATTTAAGTGTTGTTGTGCTTTTGTTCTGATGGATGTGGGTGGTGGTGTTGGTGAGCGATTGTTGTAAGCGGAGGGGAATGAGTGACTTTTCGATTTTGGGGACGAGGGTTAGCTCCCGCAGGCTGTGGCTTGTGTCGGACGCTGTCTCCACCTTTAGGGTCGAATGATGCTGAACATGTTTGATAGTTGCGCATGTGCGTTTGACTCCCAGCTGTGGATTTGTTGTTAGAAGTAAAGTCTAAAGGCTCTAAAAATCATTTCCTGAACGTTTATACTGTCATTTATTCTGTTTAGTTTTTTATCCAACTTTAACTTTCTGTGTGGGGCTAAAAGTTTACAAGCAGCCACTTTCTCGCTTCTGCATCACGCGCTCTCTCAGTATGAAGTGTGGAAATAATCATCAAGTGCTCCCATTAACATGTTCCCACAGAAAAATCCCCATCAGCCTGGAAATAGTAAATATGTACTTGGTATTGGCCATATGGGCACCCTGTGTATGTGTGTGTGGCTCTCTCTGTGTGTGTCTGGGGCAGGCAGACTCCGCCCCTTTATGCTAATTAAGGTCTCCCATTGGCGTGTCGCTGGGAAAAAGGCCGGCTCTGATTGGCCGAGTCGAACCCATTTATACGCTGACAGCCCCCGGTCGCATGAATGGTTGTCTATTAACTTGTTTCACAAACTATCCGGAGTTGTCACGGCTCGGCTCGGGCGGACAGAGGCGAAAAAGTGCGGGTTTGTTGACGCTCGTTTTCGGAGAAGCGACGGGAGAAGTTTTGTGGACACAACATTAGCGGGGAGCTGTTTTGGAAGAAGGCTCTCTCTCTGCGCGCTGAGAGGGAGAGAGAGACGAAAACAGAGCGAGTGTCTGTGTGTGTGCGTGAGCCTGTGTGTGCGTGTCTCTGTGTGTGTGTGCGTGTGTGTGTATATGCGTGTGCGTGTGTGTGTGTGGAGAGAAGCGGCTTGATGCTTGTTGTTTTTGTCCAGAGAAAAGTTGCATAGAGAAATCCCGGCAGGTAACTTTTCGCTGCAGCCCTGCTCGCTCCTCACTGTCCGCTCCTTTGGCTGCTGGAGTTTTTCTCTTGGCTTCTTTGTTTTTTAACATTTTTTTTTCTGGGATTCAACTTTTTTGAAATTAAAAATCTGTTCCCGATGTATAACATGATGGAGACTGAACTGAAGCCCCCAGCTCCCCAGACCAACACGGGGGGCACGGGCAACACCAACACGTCCGGCACCGGCAACAACCAGAAAAACAGCCCCGAGCGGGTCAAGAGACCCATGAACGCCTTCATGGTGTGGTCCCGGGGACAGAGGAGGAAGATGGCGCAAGAAAACCCCAAAATGCACAACTCGGAGATAAGTAAGAGGCTGGGCGCAGAGTGGAAACTCCTGTCGGAGAGCGAGAAAAGACCTTTCATCGACGAAGCCAAGAGACTGCGGGCCCTGCACATGAAGGAGCACCCGGATTACAAATACCGGCCCCGGCGGAAAACCAAGACCCTCATGAAGAAGGACAAGTACACCTTGCCCGGTGGGCTGCTGGCTCCGGGAGGCAACGGGATGGGGACCGGGGTCGGGGTCGGGGCCGGGCTGGGCGGCGGAGTGAACCAGCGCATGGACAGCTACGCCGCGCACATGAACGGCTGGACCAACGGGGGCTACGGCATGATGCAGGACCAGCTGGGTTACCAGCACCCGGGGCTGAACGCGCACAACCCGAGCCAGATGCAGTCCATGCACCGCTACGATATGAGCGCCCTGCAGTACAACTCCATGACCAGCTCCCAGAGCTATATGAACGGCTCCCCGACATACTCCATGTCCTATTCCCAGCAAACCACGCCAGGGATGACCGCCCTGGGCTCCATGGGGCCATCCTCGGTGGTGAAGTCCGAGTCCAGCAGCTCCAGCCCGCCCGTCGTCACCTCGTCATCCCACAGGGCCGCCCCGGGCTGCCAAAGCGGGGATCTGAGAGACATGATCAGCATGTACCTGCCCGGGGCGGAGGTCAGCGAACCGACCGCCCAGACCAGGCTACACATGTCCGGGCACTACCAGAGCGCCGTGCCCGGGACGACGATCAACGGCACGCTGCCGTTAACACACATGTAAGAGACATGAAAGCAAGAAAGAAAAGGAGAGAGAAAGAGAAAGAACTTTTATAAGAGAAACTGTGGACTACTTAACGTTGGACTATTTTTGTACAGAAAAATTTCGGGGTGGGAAAAGTTGTATAGAAGTCTCCAAGAAAAAGAAAAAAGGGACACACGACTCTTTTTATTTTGTCTTTTTTTTTGTCTCACATTTTATTCTAAGGAAGCTCTAGAGGAACGGTAGGAGATCCCCCACCACCGCCACAGCCACCATCCCCACCCCCTTTCACTGACGGATGAAGTTTGGAAGACTTTAGAAAGTGGGAGTCGCAATCAAAAAAATGTTTTATTATTGCAATCACCCTTTTGTACAGTATTTATCAAAGAAACATTACAATCAGACGAAATTTGTTTGTTAAACTGCAAAAGGTTGCATATTTCTTTTTCTATTTCTCTTTTTTTTTCTTCGATTTGTTTCATTTTTCCTGTTTTATATAAAGCAACGCCAGTTCTGCAGATAAAAATATAAAAAAAAACAAAAAAAGTGAAAGATAGCAGAGCTGAAATTCTTATGGGAGCTCATTTAACACTTCACAACACTGGAAAGAAAAAGGGGACATGAAACGAAGCAGGTAAAACTGCTCTTTTTGTTGTTGTTGTTGTTGTTTTCATTTTTAAAGGCAGCATTACTAAACATTTTATTTCTTGGAAAAAATATATATATATATTAAAAAAACGACGCCTTTTTTGTTTTTCCTCTCAATGCAGCTTAAAATATAGGTTCTTAATTTATATTTCCGTCTCCCACTTTTCATCTGTTAGAGGTATATGACGCTTGTACTTTTTATTTTTTATTTTCTAATTGATTTGTACAATTTCTGTATATTTCCTGTGATATTTTAAGTTTTTATTTCAAAAAGAAGAAAAATTGTTTTGGGTTTTTTTTTCATTCCCGTAGTTGTATTTTAAGAATTGTGGCCTGTACGCAGAACAGCCAACCACTCCATGTATATATACTGGAACTAATACCATCCTTATAACAGTTACAATTTCAGCTGAGTATATATTTTTTTTTTCAATATGCAGTTTGAAATGAATAAATTTTGGAAATTTGGATACTTGAAATTGTTTGAGTTTTGATTTGATTCATCACTGGGTTTTCTTTATCTTGTTGTAGTTGTTGTGTGCCAGGCAGTCATCACATGTTAAGTTGTCATCTGTCTTCTTCGTCGTCTTTTAAATGTGTACTGTAAATTCTAGTATTCTTAGTATTCTACTAAGTGCTTACAGAGTACAGCTTTGGGGCGACATGCCTCCTTTAAAGTCCACAAATAACTGTGCGTCGTGGTTAACCACGTTTCTATTTTCTAGTTCCTGCGGATGGCCACATCAAGCCCAAAGTTTGTTGCCTGTTTCCTAAAAAGTGGGGGGAAGATTTTTCCACCAAAATACCCATCATCCCCAGGTATAGACTGTCATTTCTCCTCTTTTATAATTATTACTATTAAGAGCCGGTTTACGGTTTGATATTTTTTCTTTCTCTTTTTAAAAATGTAATATACAAACTACATTTTTTCCCTTTCTTTCTTTTGTTCTTCTTGGATTACTGGGCCTTCTTTTGTAAGGCTGATAGATGACTGATCATGCAGGAGGCTAATGCCAGGCGCAGATCTGATTCCAGGTTATTTTAGATTAGAGAAGAGAATGTGTGTCATCCGTGGGTTTTTATTGTCTGCTGACACCGTCTTGCAGTGTTTTTTGTGTTTGTTAAGGAGTATTTTCAGCAGCTTAAACCTTTGAGTTCAGGCTTTATTTCCTCTCGTTCATTTATCCAATAATAATGATAATACTAATGATAATAATAATAACAGCAACAATAATATCTATTAGTTTTGGAAGCTTTCTCTGTGTTTCTCTCACTCCTTTCAAAACACGGAGCTGGCTTATCAGGCTGAAATAGACCAATTAGGTGGAAATTGAAGGTGGAGCCCTCTTGAAGGGAGCCTGGCCGGGATGCTTTTTCCTCGGCCGTGTAATAGCTCCACGCCGATACTCGAGTGTGGTCATTTTAATTTTAATGTTTAATCAAACGGGCCCTGCTGTTTCCCGTTAACCCCGCTTCTCATGGTTCAAGCTCTCCGGTGACTTGCTGCACACCACCACCACCACCATCCACCCTTATCTACCCTCATCCACCCTCTGCCTTAATAAACAAAAACAAAAAAACAAACGCATACAGAACAGACTCCAAAATAATCCACCCATGCACCTTTCTGCCAACCAGGCGGATTCCCCCCAATCATAATCATAATAATAATAATAATAATGATGATCCTTATGATGAGCTAACAGCTCGCCCTGAATTTAACAAACGGTTTTAAATCTGTGGGGGGAGAGTGTGCGTGTGCGCGCGCGCATTGGGCCGTTGTGTCTTGCAGGCTGTGTCCCGGGGGAGCGGCAGATGAAGAGGCCCCTCGGTATTCATCCGTCCAGTTCTCCATCTCCCTCCCTCCCTCTCTCGCTTCCTCCTAATCGGACCTTTCGCAGGTCAGGGGATCGTTGGGAGTCCCATTAATTATTGATGTAAACAGTTGAATCGGTTGTAATAGCCGAGAGCGCTGGTGATAAACAATTTGTTTTATTAATTTATTTATTCCCGCTTTAAAAAAGAAAGAAAAAAAAAGCAGACGCGTAAAGATCTCCCGTTATGTTTCCAGGAGCGCCGTGGGCCCGCAAAATGATCTTTTTTTTCCCGGCTGAGCGTGGCACCTTTGATGTGATGGAGGGGAAAAACCTTTAAAAGGCAAAGAACACCAAACATGCTCGATGGGCAACTTATATTTTCCGTGGCGTGTCATAAGACCTGTGGCTGACTGGTAAAGACTTCCATGTGGACACAGGATGCTTGACTTGAGGCCGTGGGCAGCTTTTATTATATTAATGCTCCTATTTTCTATTACTGCCCCATACCCAGCCACTTTTTTTTGTTTGTAACCCTTCTGTAAATGGTTTGCTCTCTGTGTGAGCGAGGCAGTCACAAACTAGGACACTGTGAATGTTCACTCGGAAAACACTGATATCGCGCTATCTCGGTAGAAAAATATTAGCCCCGCATTTAACCCCGCGTGCTTTCCAAAATCTGAGCTGGTCTGAGAGGCTCTGAGCTCCGAGCCCGGCGTTCCTGTTCAAACAGCACAGCTGATAGCGGGAATTAAGTGGCCTGCCTAAAACGTTACACCCCACATGTGGTGTTATTAGTCCACGGGGACGCTTTGAACGCGTCTCAGTGTTCAGATGTATGTTTGCTGCACTTTACGCAGTCAGGTGTGTTTTGTTTGGCCCGTGTAGGTTGAAGCTGGGAGGCCCGGTTGAGGTGTTCCCCTTCATCCTTTCGTTCACCCATCTACTCCCCCATCCGACCGTTCATCCATCCATCCATCCACCCACCCACCCATCCTTCTGTTCCTCGCGTGCAGAGTCTGGCTGCCCCAGCTCGAGGATATTTGGCCTGCAACAGGTGGTAAGCGCGCGCCTCCTGTTTTTTTTACGCCTCGGGTTAAAAAAAAGAGAAAGAAAAGAAAAGCAATAAGCTCTCAGATGTTATCTGTGATAACCTGGTGTGCGTCTGTGCCCATATTGACGTGCGTGTTCCGTTACAAAGGTGTTTCTATTAAATGCAATTAAAAATATATAAATTAATGACTGTAAAAAATAAAAAGCAGCGCAGCTTCTAACAGGACATCAAAGTGGAGCCGAGCATTTTGTGTAAACGCTGTGAAGTGAGCTCAGATTAAACTGGCTCAGCGAGGCCTGCTGGAATTTCAATGTAAATAAATGAAGAAACGGTGGATCGAGTCAGACGTGTCATTTATCCTGGACAAAATCCAAATCCCGTGTTTGTTGTTCAGATTATATTATTATTTATTATTTAATTAGGTCAAATGACCCACCTACCAAACGCGCGTGCACACACACGCAAACACAACGAGCTTAGTGGCCTGTAATCCCACGAGAGCCACTTTCCCTTTTCACCCACCACGCAAATAATAAGGGGGGGGGGGCGCTGACGTCACCCGCACATGAAGCGTCTATCTCCGTTTTCATAAAATCGCTGTATGATTTTTTTTTCTTGCAGGTTTTTTACAACATAAAAACTCTACCAAGTGTACACGCGCTGGCTTTGAAACCAAACCGTTATTATTATTATATAGTTAATAATTATTATTATTATTTTATTGTTATTTTTATTATTTTAACAAAAGGCAGACACAAGACCAAATGGGAAACATGTTTAGTAATAAACGAGCTGTGATGAGACAAAACAAACAGCCATGGATCTGTGTGTGTTTTTATCATTCTGTCTGTGTAACTGACGCCATGTTTAAATGTCAGTCAGAGCACGATCACGGTTCCCTAAATAAGGGGGAACCCGGCCATCCCCTTGTTCTCGGGCCGGGTCCGGGGTACGTGAAAAAAATTGGACCGCTTCTATAAATAATCCCAAACGCCCTGTTTAGATCCTTCCTCTGGTGTCGCGTCGTTATTCTGCATCTCTCAAGTCTTTTTGTTTTTTAAGGCTGCCTGACATCTCTGCCTGCATCACAGCGCAGAGAAGAGTTGAATAGCAAAACTGTCAGAGCAGAGAGCTGTCGTGTGTTTCAGCTGCCCGTGTGTGTGTGTGTGTGGAGCGCAGAGGGACTGAATGGCAGCCAGTAGCCTGCTGATCCAGCGCAGGTGCAGGGGTTCTCTCTCTCTCTCTCTCTCTCTCTCTTCCTCTCTCTCTCTCTCTCTCTCTCTGAATAGGACCACACACTGACACAGACCAGCATGCCATCAGCCTCGCGCTGCTCTCGGCCTGCATTCTCAGAGGCTCGAGGCCTCTGCGACAGCCCCCACCCACCACCCCTCACTCCCTCTCCCACCTCCCCCACCCCCGTCACTCTCGTAGCTCCAGCTCCCGTTTATCATCTCCGCTCATTGATGCTGACAGCTTTATAGAGCGCCATCATTAAGGACATGCACAGTTTGAAGGGGGATCACGACTCTTTAGTAAAAAGCAAAGAAAAAATCCCCACAACCAAAACACCAGTGTCTCTGTTTCACCGTGCGGTGCCTCAGGTGTCCGCGTTTTGTTTTTTTCGTGTCCTCCATCGGCCGTGAACGCGCACGTACAAAACTTTGGAATTCACTCCCGTTTGCAGTAACATTAAAGTTGCTTGATTGTTGTTGTTGTTGTTTTAGGGGGGGGGGG